AAGAATGGCAAACCAATACTTCAATAATAAATCAAATGCAGAGACATCAAAGAAGCACACTTATTGAAGCTCGTGATGAAGTGGCGTGATTAATGTTAATCCCAACTTTTGGCTATGTATAAATATACAGTGGCAAATGGTTAGAAAGTTCATTGAATTTGGCACAACTTCATCTTCATCGTTATTGCCGTCTTATTCTCGGATGATTACTCATTTAATGAAATGTGTTTACCTCAAGAGTCTGAGAAGCTAACTAGTTACGCCTCTTAGTGTCATGGGGCGCTCGAAGTATTGTTGTTTATTTAACAAATCTGTCTCACGATAATTTCAAAAATGTTTTCACTTTTCTGTCACATAATGACACCACTACAACTAGCATTTACAGTTTGTATACGCTTTTAAGTTATGTACTGATGTACATATGTAAACATATATGATGACAGAATAGCGACAAATGCGTTTAATCAGTCCAATAAAATTCAACTGGGGGATGAGCATATTGAATTGATTGTGGCAAGACATTATATTATATATTTATGAGTGAATAGTTTAGTTCCGGATCGGAAGAAGATAAGCTGTTTTATAAACATATTTTAGTTTTCTATTCGCCCTTCCCGTAATGGGTGACTCTGTTTAACCTGTTCAGTACCGACAGGTTCTCATATCAGTCACGTTAATCCATCACTGACAACGGCGTTTTAATCTCAATAACGCATCGATGAGTTTCAACGAAAATTTCTCGAGTATCATAAACAATAACAACACGTCATAAATACAAGCACTGTAAGACTGATTCTCAAGACTACAGAACGCTTACTAAAAAATCGAAAATAAACAAGCCAACCAGAACAAATATGCATCTCTGCCATTCAGTCGTGTTAAATTTGATAAACATCGCGGAGTGTATTGAACGCATAAAGCTCATAAATTATATGGCTAATCAAAAATGCAACATATCATCGTCACGGCGAGTTGTTAATGTAGAAACTGCGCCGACCATACTGATTTGCTATTGCTATTGCTTGTTTCTCCGACCAATTTTCATACAGGCGCTTTAAATTTTAGTGATTATTGTTGTTGTTATAACTCAGCTCAGCTACATTTTCCCGTTTTGGAGTTTTTGGTGTTAAAGCTAATGGACGAAAATCTAAGAAATGCAAGACGCGTCGTTAAATCGCTTGAAAATCAACAAATGCAAAAAAAGTGGAGCCGTCATCATCAAGAACAGATTCATTAGGGCCACGCCATTGGTCGGCATCATTTATCAAACACATTCGTTGACGGAGTACAGCTTTTGGCTATAATGGTTGACTGTCGTTAGTTGCTTGATACCCGCTGTACAGGCCGATGCCTCTGTTCATGTGCCTCAAAACATCATTCAAGTATTTTTTCTTGAGGTTGAGTTTACCCCGGAGAAAACGTGCCATGTCATTTTAATATATAAATTTTTTTTCACATACGAAAGATATACTCGGAGGTTTCCATTACCTACAGAGATGGTTGGGAGCTACATAAAGAAGCAACTTAAATCAACCTTGAGCAGTAGCTTTTTAAAGAATAATGATTAATTATCTTTTTTGGCATGAAATGTATTTTACGCATTTTTGTAGACTTTAATCCTTTCAAACTCTCTGGACGCATATAGGGAGATTAAACAAGAAAAAACGTTAACTTCACAAATAGAAAATTTTTTACAAGAACTTGATTCTGATCGCTTTGGTAGTTCGATATAGGCGGTTCCGAAAAATTTGCAGTTTCTTGTGGAGAAAAGGATGTGTGCAAAATTTCAGTTTCCATATCTCGAAAACTGAAAGAATAAGGTAAATCGCGTATATAACATACACAAAGCTCGTCACGCTAATTATACAATATAAATATATACATACTTTATAGGGTATCTGATGTTTTCATTTGGGTATTACAAACGTCGTGGCAAACATAATATTAAGGGTATAAATATCACTATAAGAAAGGTGGCTTAGGCGTATGAGTAACTACTGACTCATAATTGATTTAGATGAAGGCCATGAATATATCGGGTTTTCCAAAAGGGAGATATGATTTCTTAGTTGTCACGATCTGTCACTTTTTTCATTGTATTCAGTAATGTTTACAATATCATCATGGAAGGATATACGCAAGAACAACGTTTACAAATTATTCAATTATATTATCAAAATAATCGTTCTCCAATTGGGACTTTTCGTGCGTGTTTTATCATTTTATGGTCGTAATAATCATCCACTTATGCTCGCTATTCGTCGAATCGTTGAAAATTTTGAGAGTACATTTTCTTTATATAATGTTCAAGTGCCAATAAGACAAAGAACCGCTCGAAATAATAAAAATATTGCTGTCGTTCAGGCAAGTGTTTCTAAAGACCGTAATTTGTCGATTCCAAGACGTTCTCAAGAATTGGGACTGCCTTAAACCAGGTTTTGAAAAAGAATATGAGCTTGCATCCGTATAAAATTGTTCTCACTCAAATGAAGCCATTGGACTACCGTAAACGTCGTGAATTTGTTGATTTTGCCTTGGAACAACTTGAAAGCGATAACGATTTTTTAAGAAAATCATCTTCTCCGAAGAGACTCACTTTCATCTGAGTGGTGCGGTAAATAACCCAAACTGTGGATTCTGGTGCGAAGAAAATCCACAAATTATTCATGAACAACCAATGCATTCACCTAAATTGACAGTTTAGTATGGTTTTTGGTCTGGTTGAATCATCAGTCCGTACATCTTTCGAAATGAAGGTGTTGACACCATTACTGTCAATGGAAAGCGGTATATCTCGGTGATAACTAATCTTCTATGACCGAAATTGGTCTGGTTGAATCTGCTTCCAACAAGACGGGGCTACGTGCCACACAGTAGTCTTTATGAAGGAAGTAGCTTACACTTATAATTGGAAGTATATATTATATATATATATATATATACTCTCGTATAACATATTATTATTTCTCGCAAAGTAATTATAAACTTTTATTAGAACAAAAAAACTTTTATTTAAAACAACATAAGATTGACCGCCTGAACCACGTAACTGCACACGACCCCACATTTGACCCCCTTCTTTTGGATTTTGTGAAACTATACCTACCAAAATTTCCATTCAAGAAACTTACTGATACCATACGTACCATATAAGCCATTTTCTGGACTTAATTCAGCAGTGCAGCATGTTTATACTTGTATCTAAATTTGTGTTTGAATTCGCATACAAAGATTTTACAAAGGCGAAATTCAGCCATATTAACACACACACACACATGCAATATTACACATTAAAATTTTAAACCAAATGTTTTGATCGCGTGTGGAACGGGTGTATTCTTAGATTTTACAAAAAGGGAAATATCCTTCGGTTATTCGATAATTCTTTATAGAAGGAAATAGGTATATGGTGACTCTTCTCCTTCAATATCAAATTAGTAGACTTCTCATGGTGACTCTGCAGTTCAAGTTACAACCTGTTCAGGTTACAATGAAAATAAACTGAGAGAACAAACCATTAAAACAAATACGCAAGTAGAAAGCAATATATATGACAAATGTGGAATTTTCAAATAAAATGTTGAAATGACTAAAGCTCGAGATTTTTCAAATATTTTCCAAATTTATACTACAAGTTTACTTAAACAAATACCAAGAGGTTGTTGTTGGTTTTTTGGTATTGGCTACTCGCATGAGGCAAGTTTTCGATGACTTTACTACCACTCAAATTCCTGTGTTCTTGATAATGTAGACTCCCCAAACACTTCTGCAATGTTTTCGGGGATTCTATAGTTATGCTTTCATTGGTAACACGAAATTTCAAGCAAACTCTTGTTCGTTTTTTTCCATGGTAAAAATCGTGAAACAACCTTTTCGTGTCGTAAATAAACAACTGCCGAACGGTGCCGAAAAAGTCACGCATTTTAAATCTTAATTTTTTTTTCAACTTATGATTCATGGGTCATCCGCATTACTAATCGACTTAGATTGCGGTGAACCTAAGTCCTTGTATAAGAAATTTTCTAAAAATCATTGATATCTCTAATAAAATGGGTCTGCAATGAAATCGAAACATATATACTTGTATTGTGAAGTCTTATTTGCTGTAGCGTTAGAAATTATCACAACTGATAGGTTCTTATCTTAAGTATGCATTTAATTCTGTTAAAAAATTACGTTGTTAAACTTCAGTTAGTTTACTTCCAACATTTATAACCCTATTTTATGGGATTTTACATATTTTTCGCATATTCCGCGAGTATAACATTTAATTACTGCATATTTTTTTGGAAAATACTTCAAGGTAGTTCCGATTTTTAATGTTATTATATATTTATTATTTCATGCTAAAGTTATGCCAACTTTTCATTGTTGAAATTTACTAGAAAAATAATTAGCAATATTTAGTAGTTAGCAGAATGACTAATACTCGTAGGCACTGCGCTTCGTTGCGACCACGACTATTGACGGAAAACACAACATGAGAGTTGGAAGCGTTTAGCTTATATATTTTTATGTGCGCCCCAATGAAAGATTTATTCCAAGCAGAAATGTAAATGCACGTATGTAAAAATTTCCAATTAGTGTTAATGGATTTTTTAATAGATTTCTACATTAAAAGCTTCTATAAATGTATATGTATATAAATGTTATATATGATCCAATTATCTCCAATGGCATATGACAATGTTACAGTTAATTTTGATTTTCTATTAAAATTTTAACTCCCTGGTACTCGTTATATCATCGAAATTTATTAGTAAGTGATTTTCTACAAACAATTAATTACAGGAAGTACTGATAATGAATAAGTTTCACTGTGAAGAAAGAACCATATAAAAAGTTGTGCTGAATCCCTACTAAACATCAGTTCATATCTAAAAGGGCATAAGCTGTTGACATTAATTCTCTCAAAAATATACAATTTCCTCAAAAAACAAAAAAAAATAGCAACACATAATAATAAAAGCAGAACCTTAATACTTCGGACTTTAAAAAATTTTAGCTAAATTTTAAATTGCCAAAAGACAATCCGCAAGCGCGCGCTTAAAGTTTTGGAAACGTTGAAAGTTATTCTGTTCATAGCCTTACCACTGAATTCACATTTTTCAAGCTTTTTTGAGGTAAGTTAAAAATAGAATCGAAAATTTCCGTGCATACCTATGAATACCATATAAAAATTGCGTTGATCTATTGATCGTTAGTCAAATATGCTGTAAAGATAGTATAACTAAAATGTTCATGTATCTTGGCCACTTAAAAGAAAATTATTTATAAATAATAAACAGGATTAAAGTCGGAAATAAGTTCAAACGGATATTAAGTAATAGAATAAATCTACAGATCTGTTATTGCATTTTAATTGGATTTATTAGGCATGCTAACACTTAGGAATTAAACCTCGAATATCAAATAAATAAAAATATGGAATACCAAACTTCGCAATACCTTGCTGATTTCGAATATTTTTTTTCCTTTTAATAAAACCTTCATACGACCTAATTAATATGACAAAATGTAGAATTATAATTCAACCAAAGATTAAGTGCCTACCTCCGAAAAGACACGAGGCTGAAACCAACTCCAGTTTTTATACGACCAAGAACTGACCATTCGGCAGTATTGCTCAAACTTAGTTTGAGAATGTTTCACTCGGTAATGTAATAAGGGTATTATAATAATATATTAACATTACGAAATAACAAATATTGAAATTGGCATGCCCGTTAAGTGTATACTAGAAGAAACTTTTTATAAGACTTAAGTAAATAAGTAGTTGATTAGTGACTCGTTTTTCTACATTTCGCAGCCAAAAATTGCCCCTGCATTATGTTGGGAAAGTTCTTTGTTGTACTGTTATTGGCTCTAACGCCGCACGCCATACTCAATGTTGAACTACGCGAGGTGGAGCCTGTCTATGAATGGAAACAAATGGTCTTTGGCTTCCCTACGGAGGCAGATCGTCAAGAAGCAATAGCCAACGGCAATTTAGTGCCAGAAAACGCAACACCCATCGATGTGGCAACCCATCAGCACCGTAAGTAATATGTAAACTTAAATAACAACAATTCAATCACACCAATTTTCCACACAATTGACAGCGGAAAAAGGTTCACGCATCTTTACAACAACACCCAGATTCAAAACAGGCATTCCGTACACCTTGGCGGTGGTGACTGACCAAAATGAGGCAAATGGGCCAGTACTGCAGCCATATCCCGATTACAGTTGGCATAACTCAAATGGTAGTGATTGTGACAGAATTACTTCTGTTTACCGTGTGGCCGTAGGTTGAAATTTTACATAAAGATTATGTGCGTGTATTTAATATTTTCACTTATTTTTTACTACCTTATACAAGATCACGGAGTGCGATCAAATGTTCATACTCGATACGGGCGTTGTAGCCGAAGTTCAACATTGTCCGCCGCAGCTACTTGTTTTAGATTTGAATACCGATACCTTGTCCCATCGTTATATTTTCGATCCAAGCACGTACACAGAGGTCGCTTCACGCTTCATCACGCCAATAGTAATTGTGAATGATCCTCCGCCAACAGGTAGCTGTAGCAAAATACAAGTATACATTGTACGTAAGATGTCTGCTTGCTAAGCTTTTCATTCACGTAGTTAAATGCTATTAACTCCTTATCAACTCGTATACTTATTATTTTTTTTCATTTTTTTGTTTTTGTTTTTTTTTTTGTTTACTAATAAATCATTCAAGGCTGATGTCCTGTTTCATGGTCTGGTTGTTTATGACTCGGAATTGAATACTGCTTGGCGTGTCGAGAATAGATTCATGTATCCCGATCCCGATCATGGCTTATTATCAATTGCCGATGAGAAATTCATTCTAATGGATGGCATTTTTGGTTTGGCCAGCGATCGAGAACAGCTCTATTTCCATCCACTGGCCAGTGTCAGCGAGTATGCAGTGCCTTTGAACGTCATAAACAACCGTACCATTTTTGAGGAGAATAAGGAAGCCGTGCCCCATGCTTTCCGTCGGGTGGGAAAACGTAGCAGTTCATGTGCCGCTCAGGCAATGGACAGTCACAACAATCTCTACTATGTCACATTCGATCCAATCATGTTGACTCGTTGGAGTCCGAATAAGCCGTACAATGTTAAATATGAGATGGAATTACCAGCAGATCCAAAACTGCTGGAGTTTGTAAGCGGCATGAAGGTGCACAAAAACAATGCCGGCAAAGAGGAGTTATGGATGATGTCGAATCGTTATCAGGTAAGCAATTGCTTGCTAAACCGTGTCTTAATTTGTAAAAATTTTTACTGTTAATGTTTTGCTAATTCGCAGAAAGTCGCAAATGGCAATTTGGATTTTAGTGAAATTAACTTCCGCATTTTGCGTCGAGCACTTGATGATATACAGAACGCGTCCATACCAGATGAAGATCAGAGTCAATAACTGATCTTCACGTGATTTTGAAAACCCTTAGTCAATTATGGCATTACGAAAACCTTTTATTAAAAGTTACTGCACAACATACGTATAAAATATTATTATCTATAATAATATATTACATATTATAGATGCACCTTATAACAGTGATTGCCAAGCCAGCAGAAAGCACGAAATACATTTTGTAAGCTTATGGTTGAATTTTCGAATTCTAGCACACATAGTTGGAGTGCTAACTATATTTTATTATTGAATAACAATAAAAGTTATTATACGCACATATACAATACTATATAAGTTGAGAAGCGTTTACCTTAAAAATGAAAAATAAAAGGCTCAACTAAAATGCTTCACTCTAGATGTATGATATGTTGCAACGGTCCTACACTATTTCAATATCGGTTTGATAGTGGTACGCTTCGAAATCTTCAAAATAGTCATTTTTTTACATCTTCACCTCCTCATTTGAGTGAATTCATTTTTCAGCGATCCGAATTTGAGTCTGGAAAAGAGAAAATTAACATGGCGCCCAACTCTTGCGAATACGGTGAGGGTTTGAACCTGGGAAATCTTGGGAAAACAAAGTTCGACATTTATTTCTGTACTATATTTAATAATAACACGTACAATTGAGCCAGTTGATTAAAATAGTTGTACTCGGAAGCCAATAATAATACATAATTACAGTTTACACGTATATGGTAAATAGAAAATATCCAACATTTATCGTAGGTCAATTTAGTACGTATTAAGCTCGTACTACCAGCAGTTTTATTAAAACTATACAATCCTTTTTAAATTTTCGAGGTTTTTAAAAAATAAATGGAAAACAACACCATTGAGACGCTTTTATCCCATCGCGTTCTTAAGATAACTTTTTAATCTTCTTGAAGTTGCATACGCAGTCGTTCTGGGGTTGCTGTTGTCACTTGTACTGCCAAATTTCATTAACTATTTCCCCATTTTTTATCTGAAATGATATTTATTGTCATAAGTTAAAATTTTTGATATATATTTCCTGGCGTGTAAATATTTTGGTCGGAAGTCACTTACCGATAATGCATCAAGTGGATTTTGGATATTTTGACCATATACTCGTTTTTTCAATATTCTGACTTCAGAAATGAAAATTGACTTAGAACAATAGAGGATTTTTTCATAAAATTTTTAAAGTTTTGCGCACTTTTCCTCATCGAAATCATGTTTCAAGAATAATTTTCCAAAGCTTTGAAAAATATATTAGTGTTCATCAAATCGGCGATAAATGTGACATAAGCGTCAAGAAATGAGACTGTGTAATAATCTTCAATGTTTTGACTTCCAACGTTGCATCGATAATATGACGACCACCGCTTCGACATTTTCATTTCAATGTAGTAATCCAAACAAATTATAACGGATTTACATAAATCATACGAAAGCATAAATCCGCATTCTCCCGCATCGCCTTAAATTCATTCAGAGGATCATCTTGCTAATTTGTCAAGATTGACAATTTATCAAGATTTTTATTTTATGTATCGAACCTAAAATGATCTTTTCTTGATAATTTGTCAAGATGCAAAATGCTTTTTTGTGCATAGTTATGAAAATCAATTTGCACGAACAAAAATTTTTTTTTTTTTTATTTGTTTCTGTTAGACAAAGAGGAAAACTACGAAAATAAGTGACGCAAAAGATGTTAGTAATCGTTTTTCGTGGAGTGATAGTAGGTTTATGCAAAATTTTTTGCCATCGTCTCTTGGATGAATAAAAAACCTCACTGGTGTTAACTATAAGAGTTCTGGCAGTTTTAAACTTCTTTGGACACGGTTCATACCAAAAATGTGTAGGCAAGAACAAACAAGCAGAAATCAGCTGTTTCTGCTTACATTATTTTGTTCACCTCAAAAGAACTGCGCTCGGAAGCGTGCAGTGTCACGTTCTTTCTACGCTTCAATGACAGGTGTTTGTAGTTTGAATAATGCTTTCTTTGACCAAGGACCATCATTAGGATCACACACATACACATAGACACCGTGCAACTCATAAGGCCTTTGAGTAAAAAAAGAATACCGACCACACGTACACAAGAGTTTCGGTTAGTATTGTAATTAAACCTTAGGAAACTCATTACAACTAAAACATAAATATCTCTTAGTGCTGTTGGATAATTAATCAACAACAGTGATTCGACCAATAGGTTAAAGGACGTCAATATCTAACATTCTTAAGGCATACATATATTTAACGACTTCAAGCTGTCATAATCACAGAACGCATTTCAAAACGGAAACAAACACAACCGTAACGTTTTGTTCAGCGGTCAAGTAGTCTACAAAAAAAAATATTACCAATAAACTTTTAGATAATCATTTTAATGTCTACTCAAGTTGCGAGTATCCAAACCATTTACTTCAGTCAGATTTTTTTTGTGCCAAATTCTTTTTTTTTTTATAGAATACTTCGTTCTCTGCTGTCTCTCTGTCTACTCACTGTCCGTTTTTTGAACAGCTTGCCAAGCTTCTTGGTTTCATTTTCTCCCACCATTTCTCTCTCCCTTGTCTACATGCTAATGTTCCAGCTGTGAGTCCTTTTGGTAATTAATGCGGCTTTTGAATTGTTCACAGAATTTTGCTTTTGTATAGAGATACTAAACCATAAACGCCATAAACTCGCCACATGAATTGCATAATAATTATCAGAGACAGTAAAACATTTAACAGAGCAGTTCTTAGTATTCTGGATAACAATGTTTGTGAATTATGGATTAACTCATTAATCCGATTTATTCAAGTGGATATATTGCTATTTGTCTTTACTTTTGTTGATAATCATGAATTTGCAGAAATTCTCTAGCAACAAATTCATCAAATGTAATTAAATAGAATTTTGCGTAATTATATAATGGTTTGACAACTTTGAAGCAATACTTGAACGTTTTTTGCCTAAATTGGTTAAAATGGTTTCCTTTAATAGTTAAATGAAATTAAGTTGTAAATTTCTTTAAAAATTGTAAACACAATGTATGCAAATAAAAAAATATATCAAGTTTTACTTGTACATAATTACTCTCTGCTAAAAACTAGAAAGGTATGTAGGTGCTAAATTAAAAAATATTTTAAATTTTATTTACTTTATGGTAGGCCGTTTCATATTGTGTGAAGAATTTTCGAAGTATTTATAATGTCTGTATGTCAAATTATAAAAGTTAATAATAATAAATTTTACGCTTTATTAATAATGACTGAAATCTGTATTTGTTTAAAAATAATCGCTAAAGTGACGTTATTGAGATCTGAGAGCACATTAACTGATGCTAAATCACTGAAACTGTTATGAAGTAAAATAATATAACAAATAATTACAATACGTGAATTCAACGTAAATTATTCGAGTAATTCGAAGTTATTGTCTTCTTATGACCTAAACTACGAGTACTATTGTTCTTAGAAATAATTAAACTTTTATGAATTACAAATAATATATTATACATTAGTGTGGTAGAATCACATCTTTCCTGAAGAGTTCATGGAAAATTGTTAGCCTTCGACGAACTTGATAACAATGGAGTGAAATAGTCAATGTCAAAGTCAAAACTACACATGAGAATCATAGAGTAGTGAGGAGGCGATCGAACTGAATTGTTTGTAATGGTCATTGCATATTTGACCTTCATCATATTCTAACCCAATATAAGTTTCTTTTTTTTTTTTTTGTTTATTTAATATTTGCACTCGCACTTCTGATTATTAATGCGCCATAAACAAGTTTATCTACTTATCGTAAATTTCTTTGTTTTACAATTGGACGTATATACTCAAGTCTACAGATGATATTTATGAGTACATACAAACGTAAGTATAGAACTGAAATATGTGCAAAAGTTATGTAGTTTATTTCTATAATGTCCTTTAATTTTATGAAATAGATATAATACTACAGTGCCATTAAATCACTAACATCCATTTGCCAAATACCATATACGTGCATATTTAAGTACATAAATAAAAAAATAACGGTATACATATAATTTGCGATTGCACTATCATCTCTAAGTGTCATTGGCTAGAAAAGTGATTGCGCTGCATTAATTCAGTGGTGGCGTTTATCCTCCTTGGTTATGTTACAATATGATATGTTGTGCTCGGCGACTTGTATACCTACAATGCAACCATGCAACATATGTCGCGACAATTTGAGAAGAAATGCGTTCGTATATAACGAGGTGACCACGGTCAGAGTTATTAGACAAATGATGCACTTTACTACTGATATTTATTAATGTTAAAGATGTAATTTTTTTTTCAATTTTTACAATCCGTAGGTAACTTAAGTTCTCTCTCTTACTGTAAATATTTGTAGTAAATAAGAATCGCGGAGTTTTGGAATGGATTTCCTGAATTTTAAGATTTTTTTTTGTGTAGTTGCAAGGCCAGTCTCTTAACCAGAATTTATGTTCTGGAGAGGCCCGTAAATTTGAAAGTGATATCGGTTATTACTGGTCTCCTATATATAAGATGAATTCTGATGTGAAGTGCTAATTATTAATCAGCCGAGAAAAAGTTAAATTTTAACAGATTATTATTTACTTCAATGAGAATAAACACAGAACATACAAGATTGTTTACATTATCTGATTTAACGTCATTATTTCTTCTAATGGAATCACCTGTATCTAAATTTGCGCGTTCCAGCACAATGTTCGAACAGTTTCCAAACATCAGTTGAACAATCGTCAGACGATATTCTTACGATATTTTTGTCTTTATTCTGCGTACATCGGGAACGATGACATCTTATCTTCGAAGTACAGTGCTAGCATATTCAACTCATCTGATTAACTTAATTCAGCAAATCCTGGAAGAAGATAATGAAAGTTTGATAGTACAAATTTAATTTTGCGATATTTTTCTGTCAAATTCTGTACTAAAATGTCGATGCATGAAATAAATATTGTGACTCTGAAGTAAGCTTCCGAAAGTATGTGATGCCGAACAAAAAATTTCTTCGAAAAAATCATCTGCAGTTTCTCGAAATTCCTGAATATTATTTCTTGCATATATTACTCCTTTTATGCGGGTAATAGCAAGTAACACCGACAAGATAAGAGTCAAACTGAGCAGTCTTTCTCAAACGACAAGGTTCACTATGAAATCACTTCTGAATCGCAGCAAGAAGAGTCGATGCTGTTGATGATATAAACCTTGTATTTTCAGCAACTTCTTGAAGACCAATAGCAATACATTCGAAAATCTTAATAAACCTCGTTTCACAAAGACGAAGTAGTCGCTACTTTTTACTATCCGGAGCATGTGTTTATCCCT